TCATTCACAATTCCATCAGCCCCTGCCGCTTTTCTATTCTTGAGTTTCGCTACACAGTCCTCTACCTCTTCTCGTGTGAACTCTCCCTGCAACCCTGCAACCCGCCTACATCACTTCATTCCCTCCGAGATCTTTCAACGTTTTTCTCTGCCCACGAGTTGATTTCCTTCTCAAACTCCGAGTCGAAGTTGTCGTTGGTGGTGGGTGTCCCAAGTTTGCGGTAGTGCTCTACTAGTACTTCCCGCTTTCCTTTAGAAGTGCATACCATCTTACCCTCGGCAGATCGTAGTGTCGCTATTCCGGTGTCTCCCCCTCTTTTCTTGCCCACTATCCCTTGAATTCCTACCCACATTTGCTTCATCCCCCCCTCAAAGTCTTCGTGAGTTGTTGGACTACCTCCTCCCACAACGCTTTCTTCTTCTTCACCACCAACTCCTTCACCCTCTTTCTATTTTCAACATACTCCTTCCATCCTGCATCGATTTTCCCTGCCGCATATTTTGCGTGTGACTCTCTACGTTCTCGAATTGCTTGCTTGATTTCTTTGTCCCACCACTTCACTGCTCTCTTACAACCTATCAACTTTCTACCGAGAACTCTACTTGCCGTTGTGTTTACCAGCTTTTCCCACCCTTCTATGATTCTAGATCCGGCCTGGTCCCGACCTTTGGCATCCTTCGGTGTGCCCATTGCCTCTATCAACTCCGAGAGGTGTCTTGTCGTTTAATTGCCATCTCTTTTTGGAACTCTACCCTCGTTTCTTCCTCTTCTAGCTTATCTGTTCTCCATCTGTACATTTTCCTGCGTCGCCTACTCTGTATGACTCTCGTCTGTTGTAGGGCTGTCCACACCAACGCATGGTCTGTAGTGCCTACATCCGTTGTGCATACTCGTACTTCCGTCTCTTTCCCCCTATTCTCTACGAGTATGTAGTCAAGGATGGAGCGTTCTCCTTTTTTCAAACACTGCCTAGTCCATTCCGGTTCTGTCTTTCGTACTCTACCGTTCAACACCTTCATCTCGCTACTGTCAAGGAACCTCAGCATTTCTTCCCCGTTTTTGTTCGTGGCTCCCTCCCCATATTGCCCGATGGCTCCGTGTGGGTTCGTGGTTCGCCCGATTCTTGAATTGAAGTCCCCAACTAAAACTACTTCTCCCTTTCTCTTGAAGTTTTATACATCCGCTGCTACCTCCTCGAACCCTGTCTTGATGTCCTTCACCAAATTCTTCGACTCTGGTGGTATATATACATTTCCTACGAACAAGTCCTTCCTTCCCCGTTCCCCTGGTACCCTTATCCACATGCTTTCGTTGAATTTGGTGTCGCTGATCACCTCAAATACGTCGCACATGTGCTCCTTGACTAAGAATCCAACTCCCCCCTCCCCTCTACTCTTGATTTTCTGTCCTCTTCTCATTTTATCTATCCATGTGTAGCTTCCCACTTCTTTTCCTATGTCTCCCCCGTCCTTCTCCCACGACTCTTGGACTCCGACTATGTCCAGGTCTTTTTCGGCTGCTTGCTCGGCAATTTCGAGTCTTTTACGCTCATCTGTGGCAAACCCGCATACATTCCAAGACCCTAGTCTGATTTCCTTACTCCTACTTTCTACTTTCCCGTGCCTTTCAGGATTCCTTCTGTCCCTCGTTCGCCTTCCCTTCTGCCTTATCCTTTCGCTGCTCCCCCCTTCCCCTACTTTGGCTTGCTTTCCCTTTTGATCCTTTCGAACCTCCTGCCCCCCGTTGTTTTTAGCCAGCCTTGGGCTACGCCTTACTTCCTGAATCCTATTTGCCATGCGCACCCTCCAACCTAGTCTCCTCACCCACGCCGACATCTTCTCTACTTCCAGTCTTTCCCATTCAGCGCTTACTTTCCTTCCAAATGTGATTCTAAAGTGGTTTCCTTCCCTTTCTACCCCCCCCCGTGCGAAGCAATATAATCCTACTTCTTCACATATACTTTTGAACTCCAACCTTGTCATGTCGTTATTGACCCCAAATATCAACATCACCAGTACTGCACCTTTCCATTCTCTCCTTCTCCACCCGTTGTGTCTTGCCGTCTCCCTCCTTATCTCTTTCGAGACTATCTCGTTGTTTTTGTTTGAAGTGGGATGCTTTCAAATTACTGGGACTTCCCAATCCTAGTACTTGTTGATGGTCTGGTATCTTTCAATTCTTTTCCCGGCTCACCGACACTAAAAAGTGCCTCCAACATGGGCTCATAGCCTGGAGCCAAGTTCAACACCCTTAGCACAAGTACCCCAAGTTTGTGCCAGGCGATCTGCATGGTAACCAACCCAAGCGTCCCACGACCGTATCTTCTCTCTACTTGCCCCAGCTGCTGTACTGGGTACTTTCCTCCGGGGAGGTCATTTTCCCCATGTAGGGTTCAAGGGGGGGGGGGGGGGAAGTTGTACATCCGAGACGTCCAGCGAACACAGAGTTTTCGCTCTCAATCGACGTGTTTCGTCGATCGGCTGCCCCACTCACACAAAACCACAAATCGCCGCTGTGTAGGTTCTCATTAGCATGGGCGACTTCAAGAAGGGGCTGGAGTTCCTCCGTACGGCGGCGTCGCTGGACCCCGAATGCCCGGTTCCGTACGTGAACGCGGCGAGGGCGTACCTGGGCATGAACGACACGAAGGCTGCCCGCAGGCAAGTAGTGGCCGTCGTGCAACAAGGTTATGATTTTTTTCTCGATGGCCATGCTGTCTGTCCAGCAACAGGTTGCTGCGCTTCCGAGAAATTGTCTGTGATTGGTAGGCGTACCGTAAGTGACACAAGATAAGCCACCTGACATGAGATAACACACCCCGCACAGAATACGTCACCCCGGTGATAATTTTGGGCATTTCTGGCAAACCATCGATTTATCACCCGGGATACACAAGATAACACACCCCGGTGATAAATCAGGTTACGCCGCATGTATTCACGGGGCCTCTCCTTTTTTATCACCGGGGTGGCAGCATCTGCCCTTGGGCATCACACAAAACACACCCTCCGTGTGCGGGGAAAACACCCCGCATGGAGACCTCCAACAACATGAACGTGCGGGAAGAAGAGCAGACTGCCGCCGCAAGTACCTCCGCAGCTGCTTCGACCGCAGCAGCACAGGCGTCGCAGATCACCTCGTTCTTTGAAACCAAGCAACCTTCTTCTACGCAAGCGCCTCCTGCTTCGGCTCCTCCTGCTGCTGCTGCTGCTGCTGCTGCTGCTGTTGATCTAACGACAGCAGCAGCAGCTGGCACTGCAACAGGCGCCAACATGACAGCCACCGCCTCGCCTCACCAGCAGCCAGTTGCTGACTCGCTCTCAGCTGCACGTACGAGTACCGCAGAGGAGTCAACACGCGCCACCAGCCAAGCCTCTCAGCTGGTGGTGGAGGACGTGGCGGAGGACCAGGAGCCAAGCACTTCATTCGGCACGGAAGAACGATCCAAGTGAGAAATGTGTGTGTGTGCTTCGTGGGTTTGGCGTATAGCAGTGGTATCGGTCCGCGTGTGGTCTCGAAACGTGCAATTGTGGGTTGGCTTCTGCGCCACCCGCAGACTCCCGCGTTCGTGTAATTTTTTGACATTGGTTATTGAGCCACACGTTCGCGGTACACACTTTTGAAGTTGTTTTGTGCGTAGCTTTTTATGCGCCACACGTTCCCGCGGTCAACACATTTTTGTATGTGTGTGTGTGTACCTAGGCATATATGATTTTTGTTACTGCATGGCGTTTTGTGTTGCGGAAATACCGCAGCTTTGTTTGCAGCTGGCATACCTGAGGAATTTTCCAGTTGTTGTTCTCTGCTTTGCACATGTGTTTTATTAACCTACGAATGGTAAAATTATAACAATTGTTATTATCGCAGCATTGTTGCCGCTGATTTACCGGTACCTAGATGGTGCATCCGTGCCTGTTTTGCAATTTTTGTTCACCCTCACGGTACTGTCAACCGCAAACGGTATTTGGAGAATTGGAAACGGTGCCCTTTCGACCATAAAAGTCAGCCAGCACTTTATGATAGGAATATTTGGTTTCTACCTCCACGACACATGTTTTCGTGCGTTCAAACATTGACCGCTTCGTTCCATCCCNTATTAACCTACGAATGGTAAAATTATAACAATTGTTATTATCGCAGCATTGTTGCCGCTGATTTACCGGTACCTAGATGGTGCATCCGTGCCTGTTTTGCAATTTTTGTTCACCCTCACGGTACTGTCAACCGCAAACGGTATTTGGAGAATTGGAAACGGTGCCCTTTCGACCATAAAAGTCAGCCAGCACTTTATGATAGGAATATTTGGTTTCTACCTCCACGACACATGTTTTCGTGCGTTCAAACATTGACCGCTTCGTTCCATCCCGCACATGATGTCTACTCTTGTCTTTTGCAGGGCGGGCTCCACGCCCGGTGCACGGCCATCAGGAGCAGCACCGGCGCCAGCTCCAGCATCGGCGCCAGCTCCAGCATCGGCGCCAGCTCCAGCACCGGCACCAGCTCCAGGATCAGGAAGCGCAGGAGCAGCGGCAGCAGCAACACCAGCAGCGGCAGCAGCAACACCCACACCAGCACCAGCGTCAGGAGCTCCGGTGGCCAACGATGGCAAATCCGGCAACATGATGTTTCCCGGAGAGACAGAGTGGGGAGATGGGCTCGGCGGCGTTCTCTTGGGTACGCCGGCACAGAACAAGGGCAAGAGGAAGAAAAGGCGGCTGGAGCTGGAGCCGCCGGACTTCCCGATTCCCGACCATGGTGGTGGAACCCAAAGGAAGCGCTACACCTTGCAGTTCAAGGTGAATGCCGTGAGGTACTCGCAGAGAAAGCTCAAGGGGGCGCAAGGACCGGGCGGGACTGTTGGCGTAACATACGCCAGCAGGATCCTCAAGATTCCCGACAAGGCCACGTTGGCGGCGTGGGTCAAAGACGTCGACAAGTACGAAGCCGCGCTTGCGGAGGAGACCAAGTACTCGCGAGTGAAGGGCAGGAAGAAAGCCAAGCACCGCATGTCGCTGAACGTCGGACGGACTAGGACGCACACGGACGCCGAACGCGAGGTCGTGGACTGGATCAATGATCTGCGTTCTGACGGCATCTCCGCCCGTGTCTCGACGAGGATGATCAAGAACAAGGCCACGGAACTCAACCCGAACTTCTTCGGGGAGAGGCCGCCGCCGTCCGACATCGAGGGCAACCTGCGGTACACCCGCAAGAAGACCGCGTGGTGCAGAAGGTTTCTCAGGGTCTACCGCTTTTCTGTGCGAGCCGTCACCCGTCAAGGCCAGAAACTTCCTACCGGCTGGCCCGTGATCGCCATGCAGGCGATCAAGGAGTGGAGGAGGCTGAAGTACGACGTCCCTTCCGCGCTCGAGCTTGCGGACGGAGTCGAATGCCTGGGGGCAGTGGCGGGAGGCAGCGCGAGCGGCAGCGGGGGTGGGAGTGGCGCTGGAGTTCCGTCGGGGCCGAGTCCCAAGTTCGCCTTGGCGCAGATCGCCAACATGGATGAGACTCCTACGTGGATGGAGAACCCGGGGAACAACACTGTGAACGTGAGTGCCTGGTTGTTTCTTTTTTGCCCTAGTTTTCCCTCATGCTTCGTTCGATATAGCGATCCCTATCTTGGCCTCCATACATGTACGTACCTAGTTTGATTGTACGATATATATGTACATGCGTAGTTTCCGTCTTTTCTTGGGCGTCCTGTCCTCCGCTGATTTTGGTTATATTTTTTTACAACCGCTGCTCTCACTTTCAAGCTTGACATGAAAAATCGTTTCTGCATACCCGACGTTGACGTCGCTTTTCGCTGCTCTATGGAATCCCGCAGCGCACCGGCGACAAGGAGGTTGGCGTCAAAACCGGCGGCAAGGAGAAGATGCGCATCACTTCGGTCCTGACGGTGTTCGCCGACGGCAGCAAGCTGCCGCCCCTCGTCATCTTCAAGGGCCAGCCCACGCCGAAGGGGAAGGCCCCTGCCGCCAACAGCATCGAGCTCGAGTTCAAGAACTACAAGGACAAGAAGGGCTACGCATACCCTCGAGGTGTCGTCTACGCCGTGGACCCGAAGGCATGGCACTCCCAGCGGGTGTTCAACGAGGTCTGGCTGCCTCAGGTGTGGAACCAGCGCCCGGGGCGGCAGGGTCGCCTGGGCGGCTACCGTCAGCCTGACACGCTGCTGGCGTGGGACGACTACACCGTCCACAAGACGGACGCGTCTACCAAGGCGATGGCGGAGTCCAACACGACGCTGTTTCTCATCCCGGGAGGCCTGACTCCCAAGCTCCAGCCGTGCGATGGCCTCGTCAACAAGATCTTCAAGGCAAACATGTCCAGGCTCTACGACGACCACATGGCTTCCCCTCACGTCAAACGCGGCGACCACGGCTACCCGGAGGCCCCTTCGCGGGGGTTAGTCGCACAGTGGGTCAAGAAGTCGTGGGACGCCTTGACCGCGGATGAAGTCCGCGCGAGCTGGAGGAAGGCTGGCCTGCTGCTTCCCTTCGACGGGTCGGAAGACGAGGCCTGGGCCAACAAGGAGCTCAACTCCAACGCCCACGGGGAGCCCCTTGACGCGCCATCGGCCGGTGCGGACAAGGCTGACTCGTCGTCGGCAGGCGGCAACTTGCTGGAGGTGTTGGAGATCGACGATGACGACGACACGGGCGTGGTGGTGGTGGACATCAGCGACGACGAGGGCGAGGAGCCGTAAGGCATCGGCGGCGATGCTGGTGTTGAGAAATGGCTTGTGGTGTCCTTTTCATGTTCCCTCGCATTTCTCCTGGCGTGCGTTTCTCTTCCTTCGTCATGTGTTTTCGTCGACGCGTCGAGTGCAACGTAGTGTTGTTTGCGGTAGTGGTTAGTGGTCTTGATTTTTTTGGTCGTAGTGACGTAGCAAGGTAGGTAGCAGCGGCCTACTAGGTACTTGTTTGTGAGGGGGTAGGACGGAATGGCCACTCTGTGGCGACCGCCTGGCAATATATTGGACGAGGTACCTTTGATTTTTGTGTTTTTAGTTTTTGATCCTGCAATCATGATAGAAACACGGATGCTGCTTGGTAGATGGACCCGTTATCATTTTTGGTTCTCGTCCCCGCCGGTCCTGGGTCATAACCTATACCTAGCTCCCAGGCGACACCTTACTTGCCGCAGCGCCGCGGGGCGCGGGCGCCCTCGATCCTAACATTTTTTTTTCGTTTTTTTCTGCTCCATTCAAGTCCGTTTTTGTTTGAAACTTTCTTTGGCGTTGAGCGGGTAACACATCGTCGAGGTCATGTGCTCAAGCGTTTCGTCACCTCCGTTGAGCCCCGTCTGTTTACCACATCTCGCAGTATTACATTACGGTAGGTGGCGTACCATGGTATGTGCGGGGCAGTATAACAAACCCCTTCATTTACCATCACACGTGGGTGTTGGACGTGCTATCACACCCCCTTTTTATCGCACCCCTCATTTATCACACCCCCAAACACACCCTGTGGGTGGTCCGACGTGCTATCACCCCCCCCGGTTCATCACACCCCCTTCGGGCTCCCTGCGAGCTGCACTTCATCACCCGGGATGCATAAGATACCACACCCCCCACAGGATACCACACCGGTNACGTGCTATCACACCCCCTTTTTATCGCACCCCTCATTTATCACACCCCCAAACACACCCTGTGGGTGGTCCGACGTGCTATCACCCCCCCCGGTTCATCACACCCCCTTCGGGCTCCCTGCGAGCTGCACTTCATCACCCGGGATGCATAAGATACCACACCCCCCACAGGATACCACACCGGTGATAAATATTTTTAAACTCAGAAATGTTTCACCGGGGTGTGTTATCTTGTGTCACTTACGGTATGTATTTCATACTCCGTTCCATGTTGATCCCAATGTGCGTGTTGTTGAGCACCGTCAAAGTTTGTTCCTCTTTCATAGCTTTGTACGAATATGTTCTCGCTCTTCCCTTGCTGCTACTGTACAACGTGGTGCAACTGCTGTTCTGGGATATTCGACCAATTGCGCGGGCTCGGCTTTGTCTGTGGAGCAACAGGTTACTGAGCTTCCGAGATTTGTCTGTGGTCGGTTTACGCATGTACTTCATACGCTCCATGTTGATGCCATGTGTGTTAAGTTTTGCACCGTTATATTTTGTCCCTCTTCAATAGCTTTGTAGTAATATGTTCTCGCTTCTCCATTGCTGCTACAACGTGGTGCAACTGTTCTGGCATCATCGAACAATTGTGCCGCGTCGGCTTTTGGCCGGCTTCAGCAGATCTGAAAACCGTTCAAGCCACAGCGAGCGTCGGTTCGAACAGGCGGATCAGACACAGCCGTAGAACGGACCGTGATGAAGGGCCTTCCTTGTATCGTACTGCGCCCAAATCGGACCAATTACTGTCCAACAGGCCGACCATCGGTGCAACAGGCCGTTTCAGGATGGTCACGCCCAATGTTATTTTTTGCGTGATTAGACTCTTTCGGACTCAAAAAGTTTCCGAAATAAGGAAACATGTTTTGATCTACGCCATCGTTCTGAGGATCGTTTCTGACAGTCTCGCCAGAACCCAAGACAAGGAAAAAATAATCAGATTTAACAGCGGAGGGAGGCTCGTTTTGTGGAAAATTGTTAACGATTTTCCGATTTAGCACATCAGGCACCACACCCACGCACACACAGCAGTCCGCGCGGCCAAAGAGAAGGCCAGCCCCCGGCGAAAAGGCCTTGGAGTTGGCGCGCCACCAACCAAAAACAGGGAGGCTGCACGGTCGGAAAGCCAAGTTGGGATTGTTTGCGCGGCCTTAGGTCAGCAACACCCGCCCGTCACACACAGGTTGATGAGGCAACGGGGAGGAGGAGAGCGAGGGCCGGAACCGCGGAGACAGCGACAACCGATGACGTAGAGGTGGTGGCAGCACCGCCAGTAAGCAAAGAGGAGCACACAGACATGAAGAAGAGCACGCAATTGGCCTCCTGGTGTAGACGGGCGCGTCCTGCCCGCGCAAGATTATTCTTTGCTGGTTCTCTGCTATGATGGAGAGAGAGTTTGGCTTGATGTGCCCCCGTCCCAATAACAACCTCTTCTCTCCCGAACGCTTGAAATGCGACACTGCAATTCGTGCAGAGACTGCCGACCAGTACAATCACTCCCTCCCTCCCAGTCTACGTCCTGGTGCGATTTCGTGTGGTGGGGTTGAGGGGGGCGGCACAGAAGACACACACGCACACGCAATGCATGCACGCACACTCAAGAGCAGAGCAATGAGAGAGAGCGGTGTCAGCAGGGTGCAGCTGTCACGCAGCGCACCACAAAAAAGCAGCACCAACTGCGGTCAGGGGAAGTTCGTTGGGTGGGAGAGGGGAACTGTTGCCCCTCAGCCAATCATATGAAGCCGCTGAAATCTAAAAATATTTGCCTGCAGGAAGTTTCCAGGAAACTTTCTTAATTCTAAATCTGCTTCCTTATATGGAAAAATTTGGAGCCCCAGTCCGAATTTGTGTATTGCCGAGTATTGGTGGTTGTTGTTGTCATGTTGGAGAATTTGCATTGCCCATAGACTCTCGGCGGTTGTGTGTTGCGCGCCACCCCTGCGTGGTTGGGTCGAGATGGCTTGACTACCCACCTTTCGACACGAACCTTGTGCTGCTGGGTGTTGTCTGCTCGTACTCTTTTACACCAGGCACTTGGAGAGAGCGAGCGAGCTAGACCCGACCTATCCAGGAACTAGCTTGGACTTGGGCCAGTTGCTCATGCAAGAGGGTTCGCCCGCGGAGGCTCTTTCGATGTGAGGAAAAACAAGCCTGTCTAACTACAGGCTACCGTATTGAGCGGACGAACCTGTGGGCCTCGCACGCCGTGCCGAGCACGTCACCTCGCCCCTCCAAAACGCCGTCATGTTTTCGCAAACCTAAACACCTACCATTAGGAGCGTGAACCATGTACATGAGGCGCCTCTCGTAACATGTCCTCGCGTAGGATAGCAGCCCCTCCTAGTTTCTCACTTCACACCAGCATGCATGTGCCACACACAGGGCATAGACGACATGCCCGCGGCTATCTCGGGCGTCCTTTGAGATCGGAATAGATTCCTTCTTCACGACCTTGTACTGCCTGCTTTGGTGAATTACTCGTCGGCCGTGCCTGGTTTGTGCCCCTCTGTGGTCAGGTACGCCCGCGGCGTGGAGATAGCTCGGTTTCCCTCGGAGCTGCACGATGCCATGGCGTGTTTAGACGTCGCCAAGGCCCACGTCGAGGCGCAGAAGTTGTTGCAGTGGGAAGCTGCGTGATTTGTTGGTGCCGACCGCAATTTTGAAGCTTTGGTCGTTTTTGAGAGTAAATTGACGCGAACACAATGTTGCTTGGTACATTAGGACGGGCTGCATTTCTCCCCTTTATCAGTCGGCGCCGAGTTTTGGTTCCTTACCCTTGAAGTTGTCGCACGTGATTGTCGGTGGATGTTTTGCACGTGAGACCACGCCGTTTGTCTCGATGAATGTAGCCAGGACCAGCACAACTTTCACACGTTTTCTTTCTCGTTGTTTGAGTGTGATCCCTACTGTAGCCGACAAACCATGTGCACCAACGGCAATCGCGACAACAAGCGAGGCGCGTCAAGGCCCCGGTTTGTGCACCGGTCATTTATTTGCTCTACTAGGCACATTCGGCGGTTCGTGGCCCGTTACCACAACCACGCCCACCCACCCGTCGCCCGGCTGCGAACGAACGCGGTGTCAGACCGATGAAGCGACCATTGGTCGGAGGGCGGGTCTGTGATGGGTATTTACATGGTGTCCAAGAACGGCGTGGGGGTACACCCTCGTTATTGTAGACTGTATGTATGCTAGTCGGAGGGATGTTCTCCTTGTCGTTGCACATTAATTGTTTGGCACATTTTTTCAACGGAGGGTAGATGATCATTTAATCCTTGACTACAGACGAGCAGGTTTTTTCTGCCGAAAAATAACACGCAAGAGGGTTAGTTCTGCCGGAGTGCCCGAGACCACCAGTCTGTATAATATCTTGGTGATAACAAAGCTGATGCTCCTGCTGCGCCCACGAGGCGAAAAAACCACAAGCTTGTTGCACCTTTACCACCAGCATTGATGATAAAACCAACAACCGCATGCGTTCCCTTTTGGCAACAATGTTGATGAAAGAGTGGATTGGGGTCAAGTCGTCTCTCGGGTCAGTAGGAAGATGCGGCAAGGCGTCTTCATTCAGCTGTTGTTGTTGTTGTTGTCTTCACATTAAACCGTATGTCAGTTGCCAAATGCCAAAATCTAGCAAAAGACTCTCAGGCCGTGGTCACGAAAGCGCTAGAGCCATCTGAGGATCTAAAGAACACGCACACATATAACGAGAAAAAGGTATCCAAGAGCCCGAAGAGGTACACCTTAAGATCCCTGCAGCACCGTATGCATTCAGCTGTACATGACACAATAGAACAGCAGCATCACACAGAGTAGTCATGAGAGCACTCGCATGCATTTCGGTGACGAGCAGAGAGTACAATTAACTATTTTTGCTCAAATTGTACCACCATTGGGGTAGGACGGTGAGGCGTGCAGCAACGAGGTACAATACGCCCACATCGCAGCAATACTTTCAGTACGAAAGGACCGCAATCTTGTTGTACGAGTTTGTCATTGTTGAAAAGTGTAAAACATCATTCGCATGCATGGAATATGTCCTTCGTAGTCCAATGGTAAGGATATATCGCTCTCACCGATAAGACCCGGGTTCAATTCCCGGCGAGGGAGTCCTACTTTTTTTTTGTTTGCCTTCCGACAATTGCAGATGTACCTCAGAAAACTTTCACTTAATGTCTCATACTCTATTGTTGTTGTTGTTGTCTTCACATTAAACCGTATGTCAGTTGCCAAATGCCAAAATCTAGCAAAAGACTCTCAGCCCGTGGTCACGAAAGCGCTAGAGCCATCTGAGGATCTAAAGAACACGCACACATATAACGAGAAAAAGGTATCCAAGAGCCCGAAGAGGTACACCT